CCCCTTCCAGCGGGGACAACCTTTCGAGGTGCTGCTCATCGCCACCGAAGATGGCTTCAAGGTGCGTGTCTGTGACAGGGAGAGGCGCCCCAAGCTGGGTCCCAAGAGCACAGGGCTGGGGGTCTGGTGGCGACTGCGGATGGGCCGCGGAGGTGGGAGGGTGGGGGCGGCGCGGCTGAGGCGGGGCAGGGCGGTCCCCACAGCGCCTCTCGCTCGCGCCTGCGCACCTACCACAGACAGCAGGGCTAGCACCAGGTGAGTAGGAGCTGGGTGCCCGCGGGGTGGCTCTCCTAGTGCTGACGCGTGGCCCTGCCTGCTCGTTCACGCCCGAGATCTGGGCTCTGCGCAAGGCAAGGGCGGGGCTGGGCTGGAGGCCGCTCCCAGGAACTTGTCCTAGCCGGGATCGGTGGCCGCAGACCCTCCACCACCCAGACCTTCGGCGATTTTAAGGCTCTATCGCTAGGCTCCAGGGGCGGGGTACTGGACGGCGAAATACAAATTCTGACATCCCCTCCCACATCTTCAAAAAGCACCTTTTCGTTGTGCCAAGGAGTAAAGTCATTTGAAGTTCGAGTGAGCAGCCCCATTTTCCCAGAAGGGAAACCGAGGCCCAGAGGCATTAAGTGACAGGGTCACACATGTCTCATCCCGCCCCTCGCCCCGCAGGCGGTGATCGGGGACGCGCAGTACCACCACTTCCGCCACCGGCTGCCACTGGCGCGCGTGCGCCTGGTGGAGGTGGGCGGGGACGTGAAGCTGGAGTCTCTGAAGATCTTCTGAGAGGCTGCCTGGTGCCCGAGAGCTGGTTGGGGGGGTCTTGAATAAATCGTCAGTGTGTAGCGCTCCTGTGTCCGTGTCCGTTTTGTATAGATGAGAAAACTGAGGTTCAGAGAGGCGAAGACACTGACTGGGGGCCACACAGCAAATCCATTGCCAAGGCGGGATTCGAACCGACATGTGCTTGGGACTGTTTCCATCCGGGAAGGCCCTAGGAGGGTCGCCATCTGAGGGTCTCGAGGGCAAAGAAAGCCAGGTGGGGATGTGAGTGCAGCTGGTCTGCTGGGGTTTGGGGCGAGGAAGGGCTCATGGCATGCCTGGGTTCCCCGCCGAGGATCTGATGGAGGTTAAATGAGTCCCATTTTTCTGGTCACTTCCGTACGGTACACCCACGCAGGGAAAGAGTAATTACATGTCCTCGGAGACTGAGTCCTAGATCCCTCTCCATCTCTCCCGTCTCTTTGGCCTCTGAGCCCTGGGGGAGGTGCCTGGAGGGCGGGGCTGTGAAACCGGAGGGGTGTCGCCTGGCTGGACGCAAGTCCTAGAGTGTGGCAGGTCCCCGCCCTGCACCCTCTGGGCAGACGCGATGGCAGCAGCAGCGACTCCGCCCAGCGGTGGGTGGACTGGACGGCCCACGTCGGAGTCCCCGGTGCCATAGTCCTATTTTCACTTGTCCGTCTCTCTAACCGAGGGCCTGTACCCCTGGCCCTAACCCTAGTGGTAGTGACAGAGGGGTGCGATTTTCAGGTTTCGGGGTTCCCAGGGCTTCCTTCAGTGGCAGGAGAAAGTCTGGGAGCAGTGGGCCCTCGGAGCCCCTCCTGGGCGAGGCGTTTGGCAGTGGCTGCTGGTCTGCGGAGATGGAGGCGGCGGCCCTGATGACAACCCAAAGCTGCGCGTGATTCTCGGGCCTCCTTTTCTGGAACATTCCTTGGGAGCCACGCCTTGGTGGGAGATGCCCAGGGACTTGGGCCTGGTTTCTAGGTGTCATGTGTCCCACCCCCTGGTTGCTGCGAAGGTTTTGGCCTGGAACAAGACGTGGTTGGGAAGGAGGGGCGGTGTCTGACTTTGCTGGAATCTTCTTATGGAGTTGGTTGGAGAGGACCAGGTCACCTGGGCTCTCAGGCCCTTGCAGGACCCAAGGCTTGTCCATTCGGTGCCCAGACTTTGAATGGAGTGTGGTGGCAGTAAGCACCCTGTCTCCCCCTCCCAGTGTGAGACAGAGAAACTGGAAACTGGATCCCCTCAGGGCTCCTTTTTTCTTTTCTTTCTTTTTTTTTTTTTTTGCAGATTTTGGCTGGGTCTGGGTTTGAACCCACCACCTCTGACATATGGGGCCGGTGCCCTACTTCTTGAGCCACAGGCCCAGCTCTGTGATCATTCTTTTTATCAGGCACTGGTGCATGAGAACTCTCCCTTTATGACCTTCCCTGGCTCCCTTTTTGTCAAGGCTTGACACAAATGACAACATTTTGATTCTGATAACTTTTTTTTTTTTTTTTTGTGACAGCGCCTCCAGCTGTCACCCTGGGTAGAATGCCATGGCATCACAGCTCACAGCAACCTCCAACTCCTGGGCTCAAGCGATTCTCTTGCCTCAG